ACCACTGCATAGAAATTATCTATTTATCTGTTTCAGGATCGTAAACGTCAAGTTTTTTCATCATCCTATCTTCTTCTCGATCTTCTCCCAAAGACTCCACATCTGTGGAATCGTCTGAAATGATAACTGGTTCATTTTCTTCTGAAGAAGAATCTCTGATACATTCAGTTTTCTTTTTCTTAGTTTTTGAATTGTCAGCAGATATTTTCTACTTTCTTTTTTGATCAGATCTAGCATATAAAATTGAAACGCTGTATGCGATCGTTACTGATCCGTCCCTACCCCTCATTCAGAAGCCAGCATAATGATGATTTTTGTTATTATAATCATATTATGATTTTTCAAAGCGACTTTCACATATGGACTTTTCTCATCTTTATCGTAGTTTTTACTCGAATATTCGGTTAAATCCAATTCCAATCCAATCCAAAGATAGCTGTAGCCGGAGTTGATGACAGCATGTTGCGATGCGAAACGCTTGAATGGCGCAATCAAAATGTAGGCGGAGGCATCACCTTGAAACCATAGAACTGAATATAGTGACCTCGAACAGAAACGGATGCGCGGGCAACAAATTAAGCCCAAACATTGCTCCACATTGCCCTTACCCTGCAGTGCCCGACAATGCCTCGCATTGCCCCGCAATGCCCCACACTGCCTCGCATTGCCCCGCAATACCCCCACCGGATTGCCCCATGTACTTACCCCTCGAGTTACACACTACTATTATTACAAATTTTTTCGTGGTCGACAGACTTTAAGACTTTTATTGTTTTTCTCTAATGAAAAAAAGGCAGGTCATTATTTCCCCATATGTTATACCATTTCGAAATCTATATCACATGGGTTATCATTGTGGGGTAGTTCTTGAATCTGCCAGCGGCACCTAAAAATGAACTTAAATATTTCATTCAATGACAATACTCAAGGAAAACAACATTTTACTCAGGTAATTGATAAGAAGTAACACATATCATTAATTATTTCTGGAAAAAGGTGCATTCATGTGGATGGAATTGGTAAAATTAAAAATTACTAATGTACGTAGTTTTATTGTAATTAATTCTTTTGATAGAAATAGAAAAAGAACTTTGGAAATATCAACGATTGAATAACCACATAGGTATACGTTTAACTGCTAAATCTCATAACTAAGAGATCTAGGATGAACAGATTGAGTTTCCCCAATTGTCAGCAGGAGCGAGACAGTACTGTTTCGACCCACCAGGTCTCATCTGCCGCTCTCGGTCTGCTGACAACTGGGACAACTCTACGCTTCGGGTATATCACCCATTTCGAAGACGCAATGTAAAACATGAAGTTGTAATCATGTTGTAGCCATCTTGTGGCAAAGCTCTAAGGTAGGATACAGAAATATCGCGACACACACTGTATGGCGCTGCCATCTATAGCCACACGTACAGACCCCTACGTCTATAATACGCTACAGAGTAGTACTAAAAGTAAATCACTCTGCTGACACCACCACTCTGTACCCTGGGTATACGTTTAGTTTGATTGGAAATTACCCTTCCTCTACCACCACATCTCTTTTGATCCATGACTTATGGGATACCCTGTACATGAGAAAAAAATGCTTGTTGATAACCTCTACTTCAAAATTTCAACTGTTCGTGATTGATCTCGAAAAATAATAATCAATGAACCAAAAAAGGTGTTCGGTAATGATGGTCATGAATAATAAACTAGAACTCCTTCAAAGAAGATTGGATAATCCAAATAACAATCATCTAGATTTAAATATTAAACGAAAACTTTCAACGTCGTCAGAATTATTTCTTTGGTGAAAAAACTGGAAATATTTCTCATATATACCCACGCACATGAAACGAATGCTGTTTTCCGAAGTTTAGCCAGCATCGTACGAGAGGTAGGTATAGTGAAATTGTATTGTACAGAAACAATTTCACGGATAATAAAATTCCCTTCGAGCGACAAGGTGTGTCGACGTCTAATAGAGGCGTCGGAAATATAGCACTAGAACAGAGTGTTGCCAATGGGCTTGGCAAAGAAAACAATATTCCATCATTTCATTCCGTCAACTCGTTTATTATTTAGCGCTTTGTATTTTTTTAAATAAATATTTATTCATCGTTTTCAACGAATCAGGGATAGCGAATGAATTTTGGATGCATTGTCTGAGAATGATCGTTCGTATGCTGCTTACGCTTAGGACGGTTGAGGTGGTACCTATATCTTGTGTTGATTGTATGAATCTCCTGTCAGAACTCAAGTTTTCCATATAAATATACTAGGGATTGATATTGAATCGAATTATGAGTAAAACAACACGAATGTAAAATCCATCTTTGTTTCATCGTCAACCATCTGGATTCTTTTATTTTATGAGAGCTGGAATTTCGTTTCCTAACACCGTAAATCAGTCGGGCACAAGCTTTCTGTACAACTTGAATTCAGTTTCTAAGGAAGAAAACACTATGGCAGCAAAATTGAAATAGCTTAGGACTAGCGTATCGCCAAGGACCTGTTTCGTCTTGTAGTCAAGAACTGTTGAAATGTTATAAAATAGTTTCAGATTGCAGTAGGCCGTCCTTATATTTTTCGTTACATGATCACTGAATCTCAGCTCGGAGTCCATTAGTGAACCCAATTTGTTTGCAGAATCAACGATTTCAAGTGCTTCCGAGTCAATTGTAATGTTCATTTGTTCTTGTAGCTGAACTCGGCGGTTCTTGTTGCCATATATCAACAGTTTGGATGTTGCAGGATTATTGATTAAACAATGGTATTTTGATGCAACTGATAACTTCTTCAGATCCTCATTGATAAGAGGACAAGCTTCTTCAATATTATTATGACGAGAAGAATAATAAATTTGCGTATCATCCGCATAATTATTAGACAAATTCGTAGGAAGCATAAATGCTGGCGCTTGTATAAAGATAACAATGATGCTCAATCACTGGTAGAATTTAAACAGCTCAGAAAGGCAATGAAAACCGAGATTAATTCGCTGCACATTCAAATTATATCAGAAAATGTGAATCTGAAATGAATATGAATTCCAACAAATTTTGGGCCTACGTTAATGATAAAAACAAGTCTGGGAAAGTACCTAATAGTATGACATTCGAAAATGAACTACTAACTAATCCAGCGGTTAGCAGTTCCTTCGTTGACCCCTCAAACTCAGCCCCAAATACTGAGCAGGATAACGACCCATCATACTACTTGAATTCAAATATAAGCAGTTTTCAAGAAGAATAAGTATTAGCTGCCTTGAAGTCTATTAAAGCAAAGCCAACTACAGGATCAGCGGATCATATCCCGGCATATATTAGAGACTGTGCTTCAGTGCTAGCTCACCCATTAACGATACTTATTGAAATCTGCATTCGTTCACATATGATTCCATTTATGTGGAAGTGCTCTAAGGTATGTCCGATCTTCAAAAAAGGATCACGAACTGATATTGAAAATTACAGGCCGATTTCAATTATATGCAATTTTTGTAAGGCATTTGAGATACTACTACAAGGAGTTCTGTATCAGCACGTCAGCAATTCTATTTTAGACCAACAGCACGGTTTCGTGAAGGGCCGATCAACAACAACAAATCTCACCGTTATTACGCAATACATAGCGGAAAATATATATGCCAGAATTCAGACAGATGTTATTTACATGGACATGACCAAAGCATTTGATAGACTTGACCATAATCTGATACTGCAAAAACTGTCGAATTTCGGGTTATCGACTAACCTACTTGCATTATTCAAATCATATCTGTCCAATCGCACACAGTATGTACAGTTAAATGGATTCAGGTCTAAGAACTACTTGGCCAAATCAGGTGTACCACAAGGATCTAACCTCGGTCCACTATTGTTTAACATCTTCATCAATGACATTGGTGACATAATTGAACTGAATTTTTTATTGTATGCTGATGATCTAAAAATTTTCTCCCCTATCAATAATATGAATGACTGTGAGAAATTATCGGAAAATCTTAATCAGATCAGCCAATGGTGTAGTCGTAATAATCTAGCGTTGAATCCTGCCAAGTGTTGCGTGATGTCGTATACACTAAGATCTCATCCAGTTTTATTTGACTATAAGATAGACAATCATTCTCTAGACAGACCATCTAATTTCAAGGATCTTGGAGTTACCTTCGACCGAGAGCTGTCTTTCCAAAACCATGTAAGTACGTCAACAAGCCGTATGTACGGATTTCTAATTAGAGTAAGCAACGACTTTAATCATGTCACACTCAAAACTCTTAACTATGCTTTTGTCAGATCGAAGCTAAAATATGCGTCAGTTATCTGGATCCCATATTGTGCATGTCTATAAACTGAAGGCAATCCAAAGACGCTTTCTCAAATACTTAAGTTTTAAAGCAGATCGGACTTATCCACCAATTGGCACGTCACACGAGAGTTTACTGTCAAGACATACCTTTTTCAGCCTGGATCAAAGACGGAAATGTTCTGGTGTCATTACGCTACATAAAATAATTAACAATAAAATTAGATGTTAATGTTTACTACATCAGATAAACTTCAAAATTCCCCGTCAGGCATCTCGATGCACCGACTCATTCTTCATCACCACGCCACGAACAAATATATACAAAAACTCTCCTATTCATACTATGTGTATATAGCAACTATGACATAATAAGTAACCAGCTTGATATATTTCATTGTAATGTGAGGCAAATCAAAAACTATTATTATCAGCAGTAATATTCTTGTATTAATCTCTTACTTTTTACTAATGTAGTCCTATTATGTAAATTGTGTATTATGCCAAGTTTTTTCTATTGTTTCTTCCTATTGTTCGTTTTCTATTGTTTACTTTCGTGCAAATTTTCACTTAGTTCCTGTTCTGTAATTGGAAATCTTTTTTCCTGTAGAACAGTGTAAATAAATAAATAAATAATAATGAGATTTACAATGTGATAAATAATTCTATCAGTTGAATGCAATCACTGTACTCTCTTCCAGGCTTCAGCGACCCCTACTGCATGCTGGGCATCCAGCCGATGGCCTCCCCCGCCTCTCCGCAACCACCGACGCCCAACCGAGCGTCGTCCGACGCCTGCAGCGTCGTTTCCGGCCCGGACGCCGGCCTCGGCGGCGAGAAGCTGCGCAAGCACCACAGCTTCAAGCTGAGCTTCAAGCGGAAGGACGGCAGGGGGCGCGAGCACAGGGACAGTCTGGGGGGCGCGCTGCCTGCCAAGTTCATCAGGGCTACTACGGTCAAGCCGCATACGCTTAATCCCAAGTGGATGGAGAAATTCAGATTGTGAGTAGTCTTCATACTATGTAATAATCGGGGTAATAATACTCGTAAGTCCCGATTCATGTTTTCCCCTTGAAGGCTCGCACATTGAGAGTGATCCTCTGAATATAATAATAGCAAAAACGATAATGATAATTCAATATTCCAGATTTTTTTGGGATTTTCTCTCCTCGTCTCTATAAAATATATAATAGTAGATTGTTTTATTAGGATCAAAAGTGACACTTTGTTTGACAAGCGAATTTTGCATTAGCTAGGTGGAGCGTATAGCGAAGCCGAGCGAAAGCAAAATTTGCGAGTCGAACACAGTCACTTTTGATCCGAATGAAACATGCTATTTTTTCTGCAACCGAAACAATTAACTCAAATAAACATGTGAAGTAACCACCAATGCCGTGCCATATGTATGCAATGCAACAAATATTGACAACTAATCCATGTAGTGAGAATATTTTACCTGCATTAACAGCAGGTTAGGTTTTCTAGGATGTTCAAATTGTAGTTTCAATATAAATACGGCACAGGGTGACATATTTGTGTATGGACCAGGTGCTCTAATGGCAAATACCGCGCCAGTGCCAGCTATAGGGACAAGACGTAGAAAAAGTTAGGTTAGTGAGCATATCAACAATGATAATAGTGATTATTTATTCCTCTCCATACTACACTGTGTTTGACTTGATAATCAGATGAAGCTAAGCAACATCGTTGTTTGAGACAAAAAAACGATTGCTTGCCGTGATTATTCAAAAACAAGTTATCCATCCCAAGAATAACGAATGGAATACAGATCAAGCAAGTATTTGAATCTTGAAGGCTTCCCTGATCAAAACACGAATACTTAACTGAGATGTTTATAATTCCAATACTAAACTATTATAATAAGGTGTATTTATATCTCCAGCATGGGTATGAATTGCCAAATCTGCTGAAATCGGAAACAAATCAGGTATGCGTCTCAACCCAAATAACCAACCGTCACATAATGTTGTGTATTCTTGATGACATCCAGTACATCCTTTTCAGTTCCTAGGAGCTGAAGTTCAACTTTAGCGCCTAGGAACTAAAATTCACCTTCAGCTCCTAGGAACTAAATATGTTGCCTAGCATACCTATTTTTGTGTCAGTAATAGAAACGTCAATTCAAGAGCTAATTTTGGTATCAAAATGGACGACTTTTGTGTCGGTTGCAGAAAAAAATATGAATACTCAGATGATTTGCCCCAAAATGTCACTGCTTCAGAGAATTTTCCTATCAGAGAAACTGAAAGAAAAATTCACTAGCTTGTCAGTGACAATTTGTATTGAAAAAATGTTTGGAGAAGAGAAATGAAGGTATATAGAGAAAATATCAAATTTTTACTTAAATTTGTATGTTTCACGATAAACTTTCACATTTTTACGGACTTACAAACCAAATTGTCCATTGAGAACAATCGTGAGTTCAATTGAATCTCCATGTCAGAATTTAGCGAAATCTCTTCTGAATATCATCAATCCTATTTCAAGAACATAAGGAATGCTCCTCATTTCTTATAAAAACTTAATGACATAATTCTTGATACAAATTATACTCTCGTTATTTCTGATTCAGTAAGTTCATTCACAAATGTTCCAATAGATAAAACAGTCATATGCCCGAGATCTCCTTTCGCCAACGTACATAAGGAAGATTTTATTGGGTCTCAACACCAACAAAGCTTGTGGCCCCGACAAAAACCCACCGATTGTTCTCAAGAAATGTGCTCCCACCTGTTCTCTGCAAGTTGTCCAACTACTCTTACGAATTGGGGATATTCCCATCCAACTGGAAAATTGCAAGAGTACAACCAGTTCCTAAAAAAGGCAAAAATACCCTACCTAGCAACTACAGACCGATCACACTGTTATCTATTATTTCAAAAATCATGCAGAAAGCTATTGACATCGAGCTCATGAGATACCTGGAACATTCTGGTATTATCAACGATAGGCAATATGGCTTCCGTCATCAGAGATCAACTGGTGACCTGCTCGCTTACGTCCCACATATATGACAGCAATCTATTGAAAAATATATGGTGAATCCTTAGCCGTGGCACTTGATATCTCCAAGGCATTCGATCGAGTCTGACACCACGGAATCCTCGCCAAGCTTTCATCTCATGGCTTGCCTCCCCAGCTATGTTATCTGCGAGCTAGCTTCCTCTCAAACAGGTCTCTCCATGTTGTGGTCGACGGAGTTTCATCTGACTCTCTTATCATAAGTGCTGGTGTTCCGCAAGGATCAATTCTAGCACCAACACTATTTCTACTCCATATCAACGATTTGTTGAAAGTAACTGCATATCCAGTACACAGCTTCGCGGATGATAGTACCCTCCATACCGCCTTCTCTTCCAGTGCTCCAATTACAGCCAGGCAAATCAGAAACGAACGAGGGAGAAATGTCGACAACATAAATATGGACTTGGCAACATTTCTCGAATGAGGATCCAATAATTTGGTAGCATACAATGCAAACAAAATACAAGCATGCGTTTTCTCTAAAAAAGCCGATCTCACTATGCCCAATATAGGCTTGTCAGGAGTAACCATACCTTTGAAGACATCCATTTCGATGCTTCGTATTACTATCAGCAATAACCTTTCTTGGGAAAATCACGTGAGATCAATTGCTGAAAGTGCATCCCAAATACTTGGTTTTCTGTTTCGGGCCAGGAGCTATCTTACTTCCAGTCAGCTGCTTATGATCTATGAGGCACAGATTCCACATGTCCTGTTTCCATATCTGGAGTGCAGCACCCAAACATAACCTGAAACTGTTGGATTTTGTCTAAAAAGGGCAATTCGCCTCGTGGGTGATATCTCGCTCACAAACTCACTCACTTCTCTGGAACACCGTAAAAAATGGCGATTTGGCTCTTTTTCATTGATATTTCCATGGACGATGCTCTTCTGAAATATCAACAATTGTTTCTCCCTTGGCAGTCCCGGCGAGATTAACCCGTCGAGTTGAGGCTTCGCACCCCTTCGTGGTCACTTTGGAGACCTGCAGAACATCTCTTTCCAAAGACTCGTTCATTCAACGAACAGAGAGGCTCTTGAACACATTGCCAAGTGTTCCCCGAGGCATATAACCTCCAGAATTTCAAGAAGAACACCAATTCCTACCCTATTTTCCTTGGTTCTCACGATGTCCTCTGAATATTACAGGATATCCCTTGTCGTGGAAACCAGAACATAAAAAAGTCAAACATACGGAAAAGGGGATGTGTGTGTGTGTGTTTCGTTTTTTCCAGTGCAAATATCATCAAGATACCATAATGTGGACAATCAATCATAAACAGCCTGTACAGAATAGTCGTAAGAACGGTCTGTTTTTGAAGAAACCCATACCGTTTCAATCAGTTGACGTTTCTCGGAACTCCGCAATTCAAATAATATAATTCATAATCAGTGAAGGGGACTGGTACTGGTACTGGTACTGGTGGGGGACGTTTCCACGTCAGCAACTAGTCCCCAATGGGACCTTTTTGCAAACCCCAAGTGTTTTCAATGACTGATGTGGTTCGCTCAAGAGAGCTGGCTAACATCCTTTTCAGGCACCGCCCCTCAGCTCTCTTTTCAGAGTTTTTCTGCTGTGTTTTGTAGGCTAGTAATGTACTCACTACCATATGCGCAGTGGCAGGCCTGCTAACTATCATCGTTAACCCCCGAGACCGAGGTCTACTTAAGCAGCTGGCCCGCTCTCACACTCAGCTGGTAGTTTTCTACACCCACCTACATACACCGTCCTACTTCTTCTCTGATGCTCACAACCACACCATCATATCTTTCTGCGTGTTCTGTGTAGGATTTGTTACTAACTTCATGCGCCACTTTAGGAGCAGCACTGTTAATTGGAACGCAACAGCGAATCGTGCAGGACTATCCCCAGCCGATGCTCCGAAACTTTACAATATTTAATTCGTAAATAAAATATTGAAAAAAGTTCCTTGCCCGTGCTGGAAATCGAAGGTGAAGGGGAAGTAGTGACATGAATCGAATCATTATTATTCAATTTCATATATAACATTTTTTCAGATATATTCTCTCCATCATGATTGTTGATTATAATTTTTGATTCAGTCTCCTACTTGAATTCTTCAATAAATAGGTAAAACTTCGTCTTCAAGTACAGACCAATACACAATACAGACGACATTACTAAAGCTGAATCTTTCCAGGACAAAAATAAATCTATCTTGAATATTTCATATAAATTTCCAGCCGCTATTCGACGATCTATTAGTAAGTAACCCGAGTATTGTAAATCAGTCAACCTAATTGATACTAGTCAGTACGACCTATGACTTTCAGCCAAATCTCTATTCGTACCAGGTAGCATTTGAACAAAATGCAATATTCTATTTGGATCTAATAGCAAAATCAATCTATTTAATTCAGCTGATGGAAATTGGTTACGGAAATAACATGTCCATGTGTTATACTTTAAAACTGTATATTGTTCTCTCCAAATCGAGACCACTTGGAAAGCACGTCGATATAAGGATCATCATATATAGAAAACGTCTCTAGGAAAACTACATAAGTATATGCTCAGTAAGCAGTATCTCCTCATCGATACCATACACATCGCTCCATTTATATATTTTAAATATACAAATTCAATGTGGCCTTCGTGCGCTGTAATGATATCCAACAATAATAATTACATTGGTTTATACTTCCAAAGGAATGAAAATCGCCCAATGGGAATCTGTGTTGCAAGAAGCACTTCATTCGATAAGATCCCTTTTGTGCATTTCCACAAATTCAACTCCTCATGAGACAATGTTCTTTCACAGTTTCAAATCTAGCAATGGACAATAGATGCCTTCTTGCTTGACATCTCCTGGTATAGTCCTTATGGAGAAACATATTCGAGCAAATAAGTATGAGCCACTTGTAGAAGAAGTCGAACTACTCGAAGCGAACCCGGATTATTTTTATGTTAGGTTACCAGACGGTAGGGCAACAAC